TCATTTGGGATGTGGTAGGGGTGTATCCTTTACTATGACACAGAACCCCAGTGCACAAAGAGACTCTTTCAGTATAAAATATTTGCTGCTGTGCACCAGTGTAATACACCAACATACAAAAATTAAATAAATACACAGCGCAAATCAAACAACTCATTCAATAATGTTACAAGTAAAAATTATAGTGAAAATAACCAATTTAAATAAAATGCCAAACAATATTATATTAGTGTCCACAAAAAATATGCATAAAGTCCTTTTATCCCAGAAAAAACATAGGTACCGTATATACTCGAGTATAAGCCGACCCGAATATAAGCCGAGGTACCTAATTTTACCACAAAAAACTGGGAAAAACTATTGACTCGAGTATAAGCCGAGGGTGGGAACACCAGTGGGAAGAATCGTGCCTCATCATTGGTGTCAGTGGGAGGAATAGTGCCCCATCATTGGTGTCAGTGGGAGGAATAGTGCCCCATCATTGGTGTCAGTGGGAGGAATAGTGCCCCATCATTGGTATCAGTGGGAGGAATAGTGCCCCATCATTGGTATCAGTGGGAGGAATAGTGCCCCATCATTGGTGTCAGTGGGAGGAATAGTGCCCCATCATTGGTGTCAGTGGGAGGAATAGTGCCCCATCATTGGTATCAGTGGCAGGAATAGTGCCCCATCATTAGTATCAGTGGGGGGAATAGTGCCCCATCATTGGTATCAGTGGGAGGAATAGTGCCCCATTATTGGTGTCAGTGGGAGGAATAGTGCCCCATCATTGGTATCAGTGGGAGGAATAGTGCCCCATCATTGGTGTCAGTGAGAGGAATAGTGCCCCATCATTGGTGTCAATGGGGGGAATAGTGCCCCATCATTGGTGTCAGTGGGAGGAATAGTGCCCCATCATTGGTATCAGTGGGAGGAATAGTGCCCCATTATTGGTGTCAGTGGAATAGTGCCCCATCTTTGGTGTCAGTGGGAGGAATAGTGTCCCATCATTGGTGTCAGTGGGAGGAATAGTGTCCCAACATTGGTGTCAGTGGGAGGAATAGCATCCCATCATTGGTGTCAGTGGGGGGGTGGAGGAATAGTGCCCCATCGTTGGTGTCAGTGGGGGGGAGGAAAAGTGCCCCATCGTTGGTGTCAGTGGGGGGTTAAATAGTGCTCCATGATTGGTGTCAGTGGGGGGTGGAATAGTGCCCCATCATTGGTGTCAGTGGGGGGGGGGAGGAATAGTGCCCAATCGTTGGTGTCAGTGGGGGGGAGGAAAAGTGCCCCATCGTTGGTGTCAGTGGGAGGAATAATGCCCCATCATTGGTATCAGTGACACCAATGATGGGGCACTATTCCTCCCACTGACACTTGCTGACCCCTGTTCCAGTACGGTGCTGCTGCAGCCAGCATATGTGGTTGCAGCAGCACCTAAGCACGGCACACTTACCTGCATCTCCTTCACTCGATTTTCGCGGGGGGCCGCTCAGCTCCGCCTCCTCGCCGGTGATTGGCCGCCTGTGTGCCTTTCCTGAGCTACAGTTCTGGCGGCCAATCACCGGTGAGAAGGCGGAGCCGAGCAGCCGTGCGAACATCCAGTGGACGAACCGAATGAAGGAGAAGCCGCGCTTCCTGGACCGGATCGTCGTGGGACCGGAGCCAGGTAAGAGACAGCAGCCCCCTGCCCACCCCTGTACTTACCGTAGTTTCCCTTCTGTTGGAAGGGGGGGGGAGCCATCTGCAGACGTTGACTCGAGTATAAGCCGAGGGGGCCGTTTTTCAGCACAAAAAATGTGCTGAAAAACTCGGCTTATACTCGAGTATATACGGTATAATCTATTTGGTACTTTTTGTGATACACTTCCAAATACACCCAAATTATCTCCAAAAATTCACATAATCAAATAAAACCCGCATAATCAAATAAAGTGATGATCATATCTAAATATTGAATAATATAAAGCCAGCAAAAAAATATATATATAATTAAAATAAAATATACAAAAATAATCAAAATAAAAATAAAATAAAATGTCCAAGTCCCAAAAAAAAATTCCTTTATACGTCCAGTGAAGCAAAACGATTCCAAAACTCCTTGATATCCTCAAAGAAAAGAGAAATTCATAGTGTAATACCCTAAAATATGAGTATATATACACTTCACTCTGTGCAAAACTCAAATCACATCAAAAAACAGTGAAAAACCAATAAGATAAAAAATAAATAAACGTGAGAAATCGTGATCACTCCAACCACAAAAAAGTGATCTAGGTACCAGTACCCTTAATACTCCAGCCAAAAATTGATGCTAAATAGCCATTACCCTCTTTTCACTATATTCAGGCATAAACTGATATAAAGGAAAGGTATTTCTCCATCCTTCTTATCCCGGGGTGTTCCAAGAGGAGGAATCTGACTCCCAGAAATGCTGCTACAGATAAATGTCCCCGGAGACGATGATGATTAGACGGAAGCAGTTGAGGAAGAGAAAACAATGATCCCACTGTCAGAGGAATCATCCGAGTCCAGGAGGAAACGATTGTATCCTAGAACCTTGGCTCCATCCTGCAGATCATAGGAAGGTGGATACAGAAGGGAATCTTCTGTATCCACCTTCCTATGATCTGCAGGATGGAGCCAAGGTTCTAGGATACAATCGTTTCCTCCTGGACTCGGATGATTCCTCTGACAGTGGGATCATTGTTTTCTCTTCCTCAACTGCTTCCGTCTAATCATCATCGTCTCCGGGGACATTTATCTGTAGCAGCATTTCTGGGAGTCAGATTCCTCCTCTTGGAACACCCCGGGATAAGAAGGATGGAGAAATACCTTTCCTTTATATCAGTTTATGCCTGAATATAGTGAAAGAGGGTAATGGTATTTAGCATCAATTTTTGGCTGGAGTATTAAGGGTACTGGTACCTAGTATCACTTTTCACTTGTGGTTGGAGTGATCACGATTTCTCACGTTTATTTATTTTTTATCTTATTGGTTTTTCACTGTTTTTTGATGTGATTTGAGTTTTGCACAGAGTGAAGTGTATATATACTCATATTTTAGGGTATTACACTATGAATTTCTCTTTTCTTTGAGGATATCAAGGAGTTTTGGAATCGTTTTGCTTCACTGGACGTATAAAGGATTTTTTTTTTGGGACTTGGACATTTTATTTTATTTTTATTTTGATTATTTTTGTATATTTTATTTTAATTATATATATATATTTTTTGCTGGCTTTATATTATTCAGTATTTAGATATGATCATCACTTTATTTGATTATGCGGGTTTTATTTGATTATGTGAATTTTTGGAGATAATTTGGGTGTATTTGGAAGTGTATCACAAAAAGTACCAAATAGATTATATACTTTCTAGGGAGGAAGTAGTGTTTTGTGGTTAGGTGGTAATTTAGGAGCTTTTGATTGACTGAATATACGGTATAATGATTTCTCCCAAAAAAACTGTGCTTCCACCATCCACCAGTGTGAAATCAAAATCAACCGCACTCACCAGATGTTGGTGAGTTATGCGCCTTTTAGAATTTAAGGGATCCTAAATCCCCTCTATATCCTCCAGAACTCCTAAATCGCTTGCATGGCTAGATGATTCCACTCACTCCTCATATGAACTCCACCGCGGTCCAAAAAAAGAAAAAACATATACCATAGCGTGATACTGCTATACCTAATATAGTATTATAAATAATACCAGGCCACTCACATGTTAAAGATAAATAGAAAGCATTGATTTATTGCCTCCATAGGCTACCAAAATATCCAAGGGATCACACTCCAATCCAGAGAAACCCAGATCCAACAATCAAAAAGGCCGCTTCGAACGCACCCCTCAGCGTGCGTTCCACTCACCGGAAGTGACGTAGGACGTAAGGACGGCAGACCGGAAAATGCATCACCAAGGTCTTGAGAACCTCCTGTGGAGGGGCGAAACGCGTCAACGCATTTTCCGGTCTGCCGTCCTTACGTCCTACGTCACTTCCGGTGAGTGGAACGCACGCTGAGGGGTGCGTTCCAAGCGGCCATCTTGATTGTTGGATCTGGGTTTCTATCCTCTGGCTGTGAGGTCACTGGATTGGAGTGTGATCCCTTGGGTATTTTGGTAGCCTATGGAGGCAATAAATCAATACTTTCTATTTATCTTTAACATGTGAGTGGCCTGGTATTATTTATAATACTATATTAGGTATAGCAGTATCACGCTATGGTATATGTTTTTTCTTTTTTTGGACCGCGGTGGAGTTCATATGAGGAGTGAGTGCAATCATCTAGCCCTGCAAGCGATTTAGGAGTTCTGGAGTATATAGAGGGAGTTTAGGATCCCTTAAATTCTAAAAGGCGCATAACTCGCCAACATCTGGTGAGTGCGGTTGATTTTGATTTCACACTGGTGGATGGTGGAAGCACTGTTTTTTTGGGAGAAATCATTATACCTATGTTATTTCTGTGATAAAAGGACTTTATGCATATTTTTTGTGAAAACTAATATAATATTGTTTGGCACTTTATTTAAATTGGTTATTTTCACTATAGTTTTTACTTGTAACATAATTGAATGAGTTGTTTGATTTGCGCTGTTTTTTTTTTTTTTTTTAAGGGGTATATCCTTTGCCTACATCATTTTTAATGCAGTCAAGTTGATGCCAGCCCCTAGTGAATGCTTCTTTGTGTCAGTCTTAGGATTGTTCATAATTGACTGTATCCATTCACCTTATCACTGGTTATACTCTTTCCCCTTTAACCTTTCCATGTGAAATTGCCCTCCCCAGTGCATTATTTCTTCTTGCTGAAATATCTTTCTCTCATCTCAGAAAGGTGGATGGTAAGGTATTGACCTTTTGTAAATATACAAGGTGAATCAGTTTTCCTGGAAAATCAATATCCATCATCCACAAATCTGACCAATCTGGAACTTATTCTAGGAAAATTAACGATTCATTTATACTTTCATTTTAACAGCTGATATACATACACAGTCATCATTCTTGTTTTTCTTTGCAGGTTCCTACAGTCCTGGGATGCTGCTATGTCTGTCATGGAAATATCTATGATGACTGGATTTGTTCCAGATATCGCCAATCTTAATGAGGCAAGATCCATAAAAAAGACCTTTTATAAACTTCTATATTCAGTTCTATACTGTTGAGAAAGTGAGAGTCATGATATGTAGCATATAAAAACATTTCCATCAGTATATGCTTCAGGGGGGCTTACAATAAGCGTGCTATTTCCCATTCCATGACTGGTGACATTGGATTCCTGGAGTAGAGTTTATTGAAACAGAGATATTTTGGGTTTCTGCTATACTTTATGTCTTAAAGGGTTTAGAATAGGCAACTGGTAGAGGGCTCTTTTTGACAGTGTTGGTATGCAAAAAACCCCATCCATCTCTTTTCACTGTTCCTTCTTGGTTTTATTTTTTAAATAAAGAACAAGATCAATTTGAAACCTTAAAATTGAAATGTCTAATACTAATGTAACATTGACTATTTATTCCAGCTTAATAAGGGAGTGGACAAATATTTCTCCAAGTTCGAGATCAACAAAAATGCTGTTGACAAAGAAATTCTTATCCTCTACTTTGACAAGGTATGATTTTTTTTTAAATGGAAATGTTAATTTCTTTTATTTCTTGAAATGGACAATTTTAGACACATTTAGACACTTTAATTTTCAATGAACCTCCAAACGGCCTACCTAGGGTTCAAAATGTGCAGATAAACCTTAAACCATGAGCAATACAAGTTATTAACATATAGGAATAACTTTAGGATTAATGGTAGGAAAATTCCTCATTTCAGTTCCAGCAAGACTTGGATAGGCATTAATAAATAGGTCATTACCTGAGTTATGAACTACTAATAATAGTATAAAAAATAGTGCAGCGCTGAGGATAGTAATCATAAAACAGAAATGAGTCCACTGCAAGTCCAGTTCATAAAAACGTGTCAAGTGACAAGTGGGAATTCAATGTTGGTGATCCGTGAGGAAGTGGCTGAAAAATGCACTCACCAGAAAGAAGATATATAAACGCAGTATATATCCAAAGCCCATGGATCCTCAATCCAGAAGGAAACAAAACTGGTCCGGTCACAGAAAGTGGGTCCCTCCTTTATGGATGCAGCAACAGATCTTCCTCCTCCCAGTTAGGTGTAGGATTCCAAAATCAGGGTTCTGCAAGCAAAGTGTACTGGCGTCCAACTGGCGTCAAACCCAAGATGGACGCCAGTACATGAAGCCGCACAATCTCTGGGAAAAGGAGCACTTTGCTTGCAGAACCCTGATATAGTGAATGCAGGGTCCGGGGGAGACCAGATATAGTGAATGCAGGGTTCTGGGAGACCAGATATAGTGAATGCAGGGTCCAGGGAGACCAGATATACTGAGTGCAGGGTCCGGGGGAGACCAGATATAATGAATGCAGGGTTTGGGGAGACCAGCTATAGTGAATGCAGAGTCCTGGGAGATCAGATATACTGAATGCAGGGTCCTGGGAGACCAGATATAGTAAATGCAGGGTCCGGGGAGACCAGATATAGTGAATGCAGGGTCCGGGGGAGAGCAGATATAGTGAATGCAGGGTCCTGGAGAGACCAGATATAGTGAATGCAGGGTCCTGGGGAGACCGGATATAGTGAATGCAGGGTCCGGGGAGACCAGATATAGTGAATGCAGGGTCCGGGGAGAGCAGATATAGTGAATGCAGGGTCCTGGGAGACCAGATATAGTGAATGCAGGGTCCTGGGGAGACCGGATATAGTGAATACAGGGTCCGGGAAGAACAGATATAGTGAATGCAGGGTCCGGGGAGAGCAGATATAGTGAATGCAGGGTCCGGGGAGACCAGATATAGTGAATGCAGGATCTGGGTTTAGTAACACTTTAATAAGGGGGCTGTAGGACTTCAGTTATGAAGAACGGCTACAAACATTAAACATTATTCTCTTTGAAGAGACACTTAGGAGGGGTATAATCACAATACACAAGTCTTAAAATGATGACTCTAGGAGGAAACTATTTTACATAAGGTCTCTAAAAAAACACATGGTAACACAATGAAGTTGGACGAGAGGTAGTTCAATCTTGAGTTGCATAAAGGGTTCTTTACTGTTAGATTGGTAAGGATGTGGAACTCCCTTCCACGGTTGGTGGTGTCAACATTGAGTGTAGACCATTTCAAAGATTTGTTTCTTAGCGAACGCAGTGTTTAAGGTTATGGAAAGTGGTAGTGAAATAAACTTGGATATACAGCTGTACCTCGGTTTACGAATTTAATGCATTCTCCGGAACATTTTGTATTGCAAAAAATTTGTAAACCTATAGGAATGCATTGAAAAATGTATCCGTTCCGGAGGTCAGAAAAAAGTTTTAAAAAGTCGCTGTTGCTATAGGTCAGTGTCATTTTTTAAATGTAATTGCCGGATTTTTTTTTCACTATAGCTCAGAGAGTCAGCTTTTACTTTCCCCCCAGCTAAAAGAAAGAAAGTTTCCTTTTAGTCTATTTCCCGAGACAAAAGAAACAAAGTATCCTTTAGCTCTGGGGGAAAATGACAGCTAATTCTGTGAGCTATAGTGAAGAAAAAAAAAAGCCGGCAATTGCATTTAAAAATCGGCACCAACATACACTTCGTATTGCGTAAAAAAAACTTGTAAGAAATTTGTAAACAGAGGCATCATTTTCAATGGATTTTCATTTGTAAATGGAAAATTACATTAACCTCTTGCCGTCCGCCTGCTGTTTATAAACGGCAAGGCGGTGGCAGTTCTAGCTGTGCGTGCTCCCTGGGAGCGTGCAGCACCGCGATCCGGTGCCCGCTGTGTCCTCCGGACACAGTGAAACACCAATCGTCGGACGGGACCTCTGTACGAGGTCCCGATCATGTGATCACTGATTGGCGAATCAGTGATCACATGCAAAGTAGTAAGCAAGATGTCACTTGTGCCATCATTGCTTACTACGTGTGAAATCTGTGAATGATCACAGAGGTCACATGGTACAAGGCTATTCACAACAGCCTTGTACCATGTGACAAGCTGTGACCAATCACAGCTCACTCAGTACTTCTCAATGACTGCAAGAATGCAGACAGAGAGAAAGAGAAATGATTGCTTTTACATCCTATATGGGTGTAAAAGCAATCAGTGTAAAAAAAAAAAAAAAAAAAAGTACAAGTAGTCACACCATGGTGACACTGTACTGCTAGGGTGACAGTATGTAAAAAAAAAATAAATAAATACAAAATAATAATATAAAAAAATAAAATAAAAATGTAAAAATAAATGTTTAAAAATTATAAAATTTTGGTTATAAACTAATTTGGATTTTTTTTTTTTTCCAAAAACAATAACGGAATAAATTTTGGCCAAGATTTATGATGAAATATTATTTATTTGCAAAATTTTATTTAAAAAAAACACTTTTTTTCAAAATTTTTGGACTTTTTCATTTACATAGTAAAAAAAATAAAATCCCAGCGGTGAATAAATACCGCCAAAATAAAGCTTTATCTGTCTCAAAAAATGGTAAAAAATTCATATGGGTACAGTATTGCATGACCGCGCAATTGTCATTCAAAGTGTGATAGCGCTGAGGTACACCTGTAGACACACACACACATTCAGACTGAACTGGTGGACTGATGTCTTTATCTAACCTTACCAACTATGTAACAAAGTTATGTGTGCTGGGACAAGGTGATCCAGGGCCCAGAGAGAAGCTACCAAACTGCACTACACCCCCCCCCCCCCCCAGATTGGGCTAATAATGACACCATGTGCCAAAACATACTGTATATAATGATTGTGGAATGTGCTAAAAATAGTGCCATTTTTTTTTGTGGCACGTACATCAGTTAATTTGCCTTTTGTTCTAAAACAGATTGCACATGAAGGGGGACATGTGTCTGAAGTTCAAACTTCACCAGCATTTTGAAGTAGGCTATATTCAGCCTGCATCAGTCACCGTGTATGAATATTATGCAAAAGGTAAGAATTTAGCATCTCCTACTGATGTGACCTGTAAAGAACATGAAATTGTACTCTTGATTTTTTTTTTGTTCTAGAAGTGAATGCAGGAACACACAAAGTTTGAGATTAAACTCAAGATAAACCCATTCATAGCCAATCTCAAACTAATCAGACTAGTTTGTACTTTTTGTTTTACCAGCCAACATGGCTGCCCAACAGACTTGCAATAATGACCCAAATGAATTATTTAATTTAGGCAAAGTTTTTTCAAAGCTTTCATCATTTTTATATTTTAATATTTGAACCATTAGTAGCATCATAACCAGGGGCGGACTGACTACTCATGGGGCCCCCGGGCAATAGGGGATCATGGGGCCCCTGTGTCCTTGCCCAAACTCAAAAGAGCCTATGAAAAAGGTACCAGGGGCATCTCATGGGCCCCCCTACTAACCCCAGGCCCTCGGGCAGTGCCCGAGTTTCCAAGTGGTCAGTCCGCCCCTGATCATAACTATGTATACAGTAATTGTGATAATCTAGTATACATTTGGTTGTGGTTTGAGGTTAAGGCAGGGGCGGACTGACCATTCAAGCACTCAGGCACTGCCCGAGGGCCCGTGGTCAGTAGGGGAGCCCATGAGATGCCCCTGGTACCTTTTCATAGGCTTTTTTGGGTGTGGTTTGAGTGTGGGCGAGGACACAGGGGCCCCATGATCCCCTATTGCCCGGGGGCCCCATGAGTTGTCAGTCCACCCCTGAGTTAAGGTGAAGTTTAGGTTGCAGTTAAAGTGGTCGTAAACATCTGAAATGAAAAATGAACAAAGCTTATCCTTCTATAGTGTGTACTTACCTTGATCCAAAGCACCAAGTGTGATTTCTGTCTGCTCTCTCATTCCTCTTCTATCTGTATGAATCATTTTTGACAGGTATTACCAACACCAGACAATCCTGGAAGATGGCCTTGCCCTCTCCCTCCAGCATACAGCAGGCGATTGACAACCTCAGCTGTTCATGTTTCCCTATGAGCCTGTGTAGAAGGGGCCGTGTCGATTCCCTCCACTCATATCTCAGATTACATTCAGCTCTGTGCAGCATGTGACATTAAATCCCCAGCTCCATGCCTTTTGAAGCTCAGATATGCTGTCTAAATTATGTGTTTTGAACAGCTGTAGAGAATAGGAGAGCTGCAGATAAACAGGTACAATGTGTGTAGGAGGATTTGTTTCTTTTTGTATATCACTTCAGGCCAGTCACTTCACTGGGTATATGTAAGGGTTTACAACCAGTTGAAAGGATAAATTCACCTTTTGGAACATGTATGTTACATGTTCCACCCGTATTTAGGGTAGAATGTGTAACACATTTCAGCAGCTGCAGCTTTCCACCTCCCCTCCCCACCCCCTCTTGAGTGACAGCAAACCAGGGATCTTATCCCTACACCCGCTGTCACTGTTTGAAAATATGAAAATAATGCAGCCATGTGGGGCTCCGCCCACACGGTTGCGTCCTTCTTCACAGTTTCCTGTTTTTTTCACTGCAAAAATACTGTATGCGCCAGGGGCGGAATGACAACCCATGGGGCCCCCGGGCAATAGGAGATCATGGGGCCCCTGTGTCCTTGCCCAAACTCAAAAAAGCCTAAGAAAAAGGTACCAGGGACATCTCATGGGGCCCCCCTACTGACCCAGGGCCCTCGGGGCAGTGCCTGAGTTTCCAAATGGTCAGTCCGCCCTGGTATGCGCATTTATTATTTTTACCCCAAAAAGTGAACTTATCCTTTAAAGCTAAAATCCAGCTTTTGGTACACATTACAAGCTGGCCCAAACAAACCATGTCCGTCACCAACATGTGAGGCCCCTGGATGCGCTGTATGAACTGTATGTGGTTGAGGCTAGATACAGCGTACGGCACTGTGTTTGAGTGCAAGCCAAAACTTTCCCGTCTTAGCCCTCGAACACAATAGAGACTGCCAGAATGGCGCTCAGCCACTCATAGAAAGTGGTGTATTCTTTTAATGAATGCAAAGCTTCCTCTGGTTGGCTGAGTCCAAGGTTGTGACAACATCAGCCAACCTCTACCCTCTCATTTTGGATACAGAAGATGAAGGGCTGAAGTTAAAGGTTTACATATACAAAGTGGTTGTGTATGCATGTCTACAAGCACCCTATAATCAGTAGTAAGCTCCACCACAATCAATTTATTTTTTAGGGGCCCCCAGGTGGGTTATGCCATAATGTGCTAGTATGCACAGCATATAGCTACATTATGGCAGACTTACCTGTCCAAAAAACAGTGCCCTCCAGCGCTGCGGAGCGATTGATCCAGTGGGCCTTGGGCAATTCATTTTCACTCGGTCTTTCGTTTCTGGTTCCCTGCCTTTGGCTGATTGATAGGTTGGGTCGCGACGACATCACCTCCGCGCATGCACACGGGAGTCACATCACCACAGCACAGATTGGGGTTGTAAATGTTTTCTGAGATGACAGCTGACAGGCAGGAGCAGGGGTGTATTTACCACAAGGCAAACAAGGCATTTGCCTAGGGTGGCATTTTTCAGGGGGGCAGCATTGCCCCCCCAGAAGAAGGGAGGGAAGAAGGCACACAAGCGGCATGGGGACCAGGTGGGATGGTGTATGCAGAGCCCGACTCTCATTCCCAGGAATGTCCGGATCTTTGAAGGTGAGTGTCTTCGCTCTCTTGGCGGGGGGGTGTGACCAGTGTATGGGAGGGTGGTGGTAGTGGAAAAACTCTCTTTGGGTGGGGGGGGCAGGGGTCAATTAGGTCAGTGACAGGCTCTCTCTGCAGGGGGGGGTGGTGTTGATTGGTGTTAGGCTCTTTCTGCGGAAGGGGGGGTGTTGGGTGGGCCAATTTCGGTGTTGCCTAGGGCAGCACAAAACATAAATACACCACTGGGCAGGAGGATGCATTTATGGCAGGAGACATAAATACCCTACCTGACATAAATACCCTGCCTGTCAGCAAATTTTAAAAAGAGTTAAGCTTACTTCCACTTTAAGTCGCACTTGCTGGTTTGAATGAGTAAATATGAAAAATAGTATTGATGATCATGTTTTCCATGCACTTGGAGGATAATCTAATATACATCAGCATCCAGTATTTTACACAATGAATGTAAAGATCAGACAGTGACATCAGAAACGTGTGTTTATAATTTGATCAAATTGCAGTCTAATGCTATTTTCAATTAGTAGGTTTTTTTAAGCGGACCTGAACCTAACAAGTGATGGTTTGCTATGCAGTAGGAACATCTAGAAATATTATTGTATATAATTGGTCACCTGAACAAGTTACTGTTTGCCTTTTCCTCCAGAAAATAGTAGAACGTTTCTTGTGTCTAGGCTCTCCTGTGCCTATAGCATAATGGATGTATGTAACGGAACCGGTCCCCGACCGCACTTGGGTATATTCTGTTATACTGCAGCTTCCCCTGTCCGAACACCATCCACGAACCACACCCTTGAAATCCCTCAGGAAATAGACAGCACCCAGCTCTTCTTAAAACAGGAAGCCAACTTCATGTATTTTTACACAAACAACATGTTTTATACAGAGGGCGGGGAAAGACAACCAGGGACAGGAAACACATCATCAGCCCTCCCCATCAGTGGGAAGGGCTACAGTATAGGCAGCAAACACCTCATCACCCCTCCCCATCCAACCAAGACACAGAACAATGGGATAGCACATGGCAAGGACAAAGGGCAGCCAGGTGGCCAAGACAAAGGGATGACCACATGGCAGTACAATACAGGAACACATGCATTCCATAATAGTTTGCTGGCCAGCATGACACAGAACAATGGAATGAAGCACATGGTATAGAACAATAGGCAACCATGTGGCAGGGACAAAGGAACACACACTATATACAATATCAAGACATTCACATTTACACACCCTGTACCCTAACAGGCACAGGGTCACTTAAACATAATGATTTGGGAAGATAATACAGCAGTCCCCCACGCCCAAAAGTCATTCCCCGTCACAATGTACATCTGTATTTCTGCAGTGTGAGACCTTCTAAGACACTGCTGCTTCTGGCTGCTAGCCTCAGAAAGTTTTGAAGTGAGGTTCGATGCCGTCACTGCTGTGTATCTCACTGTTCTCCTTGCTGGAAAAGAACCTGTACCTGAGCACCTTCTGTGCAAGGATCTGCATGCTTCTGCTTCTTTCTTTCTGTGGATCTTTGATTTATAAACCTCCTCCTGCTTCTTCATCATTACCCCAACTGCCATTAGAGCACCATGATCATAATGCAAGGCCCTCTTTGAATAAAACCATTAGATAAATACCATACCCAAGGAGCAGACACACACACAAGGCACATACAAGTATTCTTGTAAGCAGATCCTACAAAGGCATCCCAGCAGACCTCAACCCAGGGAGCCCTTTGCTGTCACCCCATCTGACATCTCACAATGCAATGTTGATGGCTTAGCGGCCAACAGAAAGGTGTTGCTTGACTTATAACTAAATGTATTTAATGAAATTTTTTTTTTTATATTAACAATTTTTATTGGTTTACGTGAAATAAAAACAACATGTTTAACAAGGATAAAAAGAGAAAATAAACATAACAGAAAAGTACATTGATGGCAAAATTAAATAGGGTCAGGACCAGCGGAATCATAAAAAAAACAGTGTGGAGGATATCAGGGCCTTGCAATGTGGGCCGGCATAGAAGAAGTGAAAGTATCCCACGGGAGCCAAATCATCTCAAATACAGCAAACGAACAACTATGTAGTGCAGTCAAATATTCCATCTGTCTTACATCAGCAATAAATTTGTACAAAATCGGCATTGAAGGAGGATCAGAGGACAACCAACACATAGGAATATTTCTCCTGGCTGCGGTCAGTACATGTACAGCAAGTTTCCTGGGTAATTTAGGTAGTCCAGGGAATGGTAAACCTAGCAAAAAATGTAGTGGATCAAGTGGGAGAGAGACATGCAGCAATGAATTCAGCAAGGAGAGAACATCCTGCCAAAAAGGAGT